AAAAAAAAAAAAAAGAGAAAAATTCTCAAAGAAACTAACAACAATGCTGTATATTTACACTGTTTAATACAAATTCCAACTGCATGAAAAAGGGCCTGTCAAGAACTGACATAATAGGAATGGGAGAGCAGAACTATTCACAATGGACAAAAAGAAAGTAGGCTCGTGATGCTTTCGAATGGGAAGCAAAACCCAAGTAAGCTGCTTTTGAAGCAGGCTCTGTTGTGACAGAGAGAAGTAGGATGGTGGTAGCTGTTCCACAGACGGAAGCAACCCTGGCCATGTGCATCTCTTGTTCACGTGTACTATTCTGACCCAGGTCCTGAAACACAATTGCAAGAATATAACTATCACAATTATCAAACAGAACAGGCAAATTTTATCAGCTATTCTTTTTTGTGGCTATTCTTTTCACCACCTCATGAATTAATTACACCATTTTAAAATTGTCTGAAACTACTTATTTTAAGAGACTGTACAAAATAAAATCTGTCTTATGCAATATAAGGTCTGATTATCAGCAGTAAAAATTGCCACCACAAGTAATTCTCAAACTCAATTAAATTTTCTAAAGAGAAAGCGTACAGCTTATCTTGATAAGCATGATGCTGACAACCCAATAGCAGGAATAATGACAAGAGCAGCTTATATTTATTTAATACTGCACGTCTCAGGCTATCTTAACACTTTATAAAGTTTTAACTTACTGAATGTTCACCACCACCAAAAATATTAGGTACTATTACTATCTCTATTATTCAGGTAACAGAAAGGGCACGGACGTTAGTAGTTTGCCACAGTTACAAGCTAATAAAGCAGTCTGGCTCCAAGTCCATATTCTTCCCCACTGCACTACCCCGCCTCTCTGTAAAAGTATATGTTAATGGCTAGTAAGCAACTTTTGCCCAGTGACTGCCAGGTATAAATACTGTCCTTAGTGCGCTACTACCTGAAAAGGTTCCAAAAAGATCATACACTTTCAGTTATACAATCCTTTTAGCTTGACCTCATTTCCACATTTAAAAAATACTGTCCTACTAGTCATACCAAAAAAGCACATATGATGACATATGTAATAAACAAAGGATTTGTTAACAACTCATTCCAAAGTAAGAGAACATTCATTATTTGAAAAGTAGGGATCTGAATAATGATCAATTACAGAAATAGTTTTTAAAATAATGAGACCACCTACACATCACTATAATTATTATGTTCTGTAATATAAAATGTTAATAAATACACCTCAGATTTAGTGGAATGCTAGTCTGTGTTCATGTATTAAATGCTGAAAACAATTGTATGAGGTCCAGATCTTCCTCTAAACAAATTTTATGACCTTTAGGCTCTTTAGCATATCATAAAGGCGGCCTTCACATATCTCATACATTCCTAAACTACAAATGCTTATGTAAATGTCTTTGTAAAGATCTTTAGATATAATCTAAGTTTTTAATAATATTATTTTTTTAAATGTAACACAATCATCACAGTCCATTAATAAAATGAATTCAAGATACTAGCTTTTATACCTTGAAATTTCTTTTGAAACAGGTATCTTAGAAGGACATCAATTTATCTTTTATCAGACTCACTCACACAGGTAATATGACTACTTCAAATAGTACATAAAAAGATATAAAATATAAAAAGATCTAATTTATCATTAATGCAGCATTAACCTGGTCAGATGATCTGGTTTGATTATGTATGAACCAAACACCCATTTTCTGATTACCAACTTTAACAATGGATGCCCAAGACCATTAATTATTTCATCAATGATTTTAAAATTTACTTAGTTTTGATTCACAATGAAAGAAAGTAATCTCACTAATACAAAATGACTGGGAAGTAAAGTATCTGGGAAAACAGATTTATAAATAGGCATAGTAGTAAAAGCAAAGGATTATATATTTTTGTAAGATAAGTCTAATAAAAATTTTGTTCATATTTGTGATACATTCCATTTATTAAGGTATAATTTAGAAATTAGAAATTTAAAGATTTTAAAACACAGAATTTACTACGTTCTACGAAAGCACACCTGTGTAACTCAATGAAGATTTCCACCATCCAGAAAGTTCCACTGGGCCCTTATCTGCCAATTTCCTTTTACACTGTGCTCATGTGAAATATATATTTAAACCAAAAATTCTTCCTAATTTCCTGGCACAGACTGATAAGCACATCCAGGGCTGTGTCTGTTAGCTGAAACATGTCAAGTGGTTTTCCATTGATTCCTGGGGCCTGACTTTTTCCTAATGTCTTCAATGCAGCTTGAAATTCTTCCTTCATTGTCACTGGCTCTTGTTCATATTTATTTCTTTAAATACTTCAGTATCGACTAATTAGTTTTGGTACAGTGATTCTGTGGATTCCTTTCATTTTTTTTTGATGTTTCTTAGATCATTCAAATTTTGCCCATAGCAACTTTCAGTATTATAACTTGTGGTCTCAATTTTTCAATTCTTTCCACTTGAGAAATGCCAAGGGAGTTTTTATCTTTTTGTTCTCTAATTCCAGCTCTTTGCACATTTAATTATAGTTATTTTGCTCTTTCTTCAATATTCTCTTTGAAATCTTCTCTTCACCTCTTTACTACAGGCATCTCTTCCATTTGTTTTGGCTTCTCAACATTAATGACTTTTAGCATTCTTCACGGATTGTATCTTTGATGTCATCTCACAAGCATCTGGTCTTTGATTATAAGTGCTCAATGCCTTAAACCCCTGCTTGAGATGAATTTTAAATTCAGGTAGGATAGACTCAATGTTGGTCATCTTTGGTTTTTATGGGCTTCTTTTCACTTTTTTCAACCTCAATTTGAACTTGTACACGTGTAACTGATGATCTTACTACAAAGTTAGCACCTGGCCTGGTTTTGACTGCTGACAGATACTGAGCTCTTCCAACAATTCTTTCCCCAGATGTAGTCAATCTGATTCCTGTGCAGTCCATCAGGTGAGGTATAAGTGTACAGTCACCATTTGTTTCTTAGAAAAGGTATGTGTGATGAACAAGTCAGTAAATATACAAAATTTAATCATTTGCTCTCTAGTCTTATTTCTGTTACCAAGCCCATAATTTCCAACTATCATTCCTCCTGCATTGTTTCCAACATTGGCATTCCAGTAACCAATTAATAATAAATAACCCCTAGGACACTGAGCTCTCTAGGTCTCTTGGGAGCTCTGTTGGCCTAGTGACAAGAAGCAGCACTGCAATCTCGAAGTGTATTTGAAAATGCCCAAAATTTATGGATGCAAATAAAAGCAAGCTGTACAACTGTGTGCGCTCTGAGTAAAAAGTTCTTGTGATAAGAGAATAAAAGGACCATACATACTATTTGAGACACACAAACATCTCTGGAAAGAGAAGGGAGAGTGAAAAGTTAGATAACCAAGGGCCTAGATTGGGGCAAGACTTCTCAGTGTACACTTATGCATTTTAAAATGTTTTAAAAACGAGAGTAAATATTTTCTCAGTTATCAATGGGGAAAATAGTACTGATACAACTGTTATTGCTATTATTGTATCTAGAAATGGTAATAAAAATCAGATTATTGTTGTTGTTGTTGTTGTTATGTGCCGTCGAGTCGTTTCCGACTCATAGCGACCCTATGCACAACAGCCCTAAACCCTGCTCTATC